AAAAAAAATAAAACTGTGTTATGTTAGAGTGTGTCTCCACCCAAAACCGAATGCTGACACTGGCATGCCCCTTGTGTGTGGTTCCAAAATTCACATGCTAGTATCCTGCACTTCTTCTTGAATTACACACGTTTAGTGTTAAAGCGGCCAATCTTCGGATAGGTGGACACACGCCCTTATTTGATATTTTATGTGGTTATTTGTCCGAGCTGTTCTAATTTTGATTTCATTTTCATTCTGTTGTGGAACCTTTGTTTTTCACGTTTTTAAACTGTGTCGTGTGGCAACAAATGATATTCTAGATACCCAAAACAGAGCACAAAAAATTCTGATGCTTTGGACTAAGTTACCTCTATCAACGTATTATTGCTATATATACGTCGTCACGGGGAGTTGAAAGCTTGAAAATTAATGGCAACTTTTATGGCAACTTTTGCCATTTTTGTGGCAACTTTTGGCAACTTTTGGCAACTTTTGGCAACTTTTGGACAAAAAATGGCAACAAACGCAGATGCTAGGAGAGTATGGTTTAGATTAGTAAAGAGCTGGGAGCTTTTGTATTGAACATTTCCTCAACACCAACTCATTTCGTAAGTTTCGCACAAGGTACTGAAATAACGTTAAAGAGCCCTTAAGGCCTTTTGGTGCCAAGGGTGGAAACGGTGCATCAGTTAGGACGTCTTAGTTCTGATAACAACTAAATCGTAGCTTCCAAAAACAATTAAGTCTTAGCTAAAATTTAACAACAACAAAACATACAAGCAAACAAAAAACAACTCAGCTTTCGCTTTAAATAACAACTAATAAAATAATAACGGATTGCATTTGTTTGGCGCGTATCCACTTATGCAATGCTCTAGGCGCTTAACATGATACATATTATGGATTTACAAATCAACTAAGTCTTATCATTAAATAACAAATAACCTAGTCCTATTCTTAGCTTCCACTCCAGACCTGGCTTACATTACAGAAGTCGAGGACTTACCTGATAGCTTGATCTGAATCTGGATCTACACCACAACACAGCACAGCACAGCACAGTACAGCTAATCCACACGAGCAGTCAGCCGTGGAGCAGTACGACAGTCGTAGCAACAGCAGCAACAGCAGCAACAGCAGCAACAGCAGCAACAGCAGCAACAGAAGAAGGGAGAAGAAATCCCTCAACAACTGTAGCAACACTGATAGGCGAGAGAAATGGTCGCTTTTAAGCACAAAGGGGCTATCCGGGAGAATAATTCTGTGATTGGTAGCTCTACACCACCGAAATAATTATGTCCTTCACACCACCCTGCACCTCAGTCAGACAGATCGTCACACACACACGCGTATACACACACACACACACACACACGGAC